AGGTGCTCGGGGCCTTCTTCGGAGGTCCTGGGGCCACCTGGGGAATCTCGTGGGCCGTCTTGGTAACCGCTTCGCCGTCTGGGTCTCTCTTGGGCCTGTCGTGGGACTGTCGTGTGGCCGTCTTGGGCCGTCGAGGCGTCTTTTTATCCCGTCTCAGGTTCTCCCGCAGAAACTCTCGGGCCAGCATGGGGCTCCATTGAGACCATCTTGGGCCATGTGGGGGGCCTCGGGGTTCTCAGTGGACCGCCTGGGCCTTCGGAGACCGCAAGTCGACTGATCTTCGACCCAACAGCCGCTCTTGGGTCGCTTTTGGGTCTCAGGGGGCCCTCTGCGTCATGCAACAACACTTTGGGGGGGTGCTCATGGACCTGGCCTGGCCGCTCCAGGCCCTGGCTCCCAGAGGAGCCCAACCGGGACGCCAGAGGACCAGGAGGGCCCAAGAGGCCTTCCCAACGTGGTCAGCGGAAAACATGCAAATTGCTCTTTTGGGAGCGTCTTTGGGGTGCCGTGGGGCCTTTTTGAGGTCTTTTGGGAGTTGTTGGGCGCATTTTACGGGCTGCAAGGTGCGTCCTGATATGTGGAATGCTCATATTGGCGGCTTTGGTGTCTCTCCGCGGCCGTCTTGCGAGCCGTCGGGCGCATTGGAGAGCGCCAGGATTGCGTCGGGGTGCCCAGGAACCTTCGCGAGGGTGGGCCAGCGCACGCAGCACGTTGTGATGAGAGGGGGGCCGCAAAAGACGTACATGAACCCGAACAGGCAGCACTTAAAATTCTGCAGCCAAGAGGCTGGAATAATGAACAGTGCGTGTTCGGAAGGGGCTCGATGTTCCTTCGGTGCGTACATGTCTGCTTCTCTGACACTCCTCGTCCACGCAAGCGCTTTTGGGGGGTCGAAAGGGGGCCGCGTTCCTTATCAAGCGTTCCTCATTTCAGCAGCCCGGCTGCACCAGGCCTCATTGTGCCAGGGGAGTGCACGGTGGTTGAGCAGACGTCCAGAAAGAAAGAGGAGGACGGCAACCAGTAAACGGATGAATACGAGGACAAGGGCGAATAAGGATGACAAGGACGACCTCGAGGATGAGGACGAGGACGGGGGGGGGGGCAGGACCAGGAGGCGGGATCGAAGGGAGGAAGGGGGGCTTCTGGGCGTTTGGGCTCTTCGCTCAAGATATCCTGTCACGCAGCAATCGATACCGTAGCCGTTTCGATTCGAGGGTGAGTTCTTCGGGTGGACACGGCTAGTTTTTGTTTCGGCCACAGCGTCAACCATGCCGTCGGGGAAGATCAAGAAGTTCTTCGAGGACAAGGGTTTCGGCTTCATCACTCCTGACGACGGTAGCGATGACGTGTTTGTGCATCGCAAAGTGCATGGGGATGGCCAAGATCGCACCGCGTATTTGGAAGAGGGTGATTCCGTCACGTACGAGGTAGAGTGGGACGACCGCAAAGGCAAGTATTCAGCCTCGTCTTGCGACGGCCCCTGGAAGACAGGCGGCGGTGGTGGAGGCGGTGGTTGGGGCGGTGGCGGTGGAGGCGGCTGGGGCGGTGGAAAGGGCGGTGGGAAAGGCTATAACGCCTGGTGAGTTCGGGTCGCACACGGTAGGGACACCTTGTGCGCAGGCAATAGCCATCTTTGGAATGCAAGTCATAGTCTGCAAACAAATTGACGAGCTCACCATCTGGCTTCATTGCCGTCGTGCATTTCGCGGCAGTTGCTTCTCAGATGTTCTAGAAGTACCGTGCCAGGGCGCCTCGAGAAGTGTCAGATTTCCAGTTGGCTTTGTGTCTGAGACGTTTTACGTTCACGTCGGTTGGCCCTCGAACGAACCAGGTCTCAGAAGAATACGCTCACAAAGGCTGACCTCTCCCGCCAAGGGATAATCCCGAGGACAGTCGTCGGCCAGCCTGTCTGATTCCTCCCCTCCGTCATTTCTAATGGAATCTGCAGTTGCGTTCTACCCAAGCGCCCTTGCGCACACGACTTAGTATTGTTCTGTTTAGGGGGCTACGTGCTAGTTGGGAGTTCGGGGGTCAGCACATGGCGACCCTCTGTTTCCTTGTGGCTCCCATATGGCCTCCCGCTCTAGGTGCCCTCTGTCTTGGAGTCAGCCTCGTATGGCTTGCCCTCATGTGGTTTCCTTGTACTCCCATGGCATCCCGCTCTACTGGCCCCAGGGTCCGCTGTGGATGCTTGACCTCTCATATGGCATCCTCTGCTTGGTTCTCGTTGTGGCATTTATGTTGCCCCTTGTCCCAGTGCTTGCCACGCGTGAGTACCACTATATGGCATTATATGGTTTCACGTCCTATGGCTTCCTTGCGGCTCTCCCATGGCCTCCCGCTAAGTTGACATTGTGTCATTGGGTCGGCTGCGGGTGCTCCGCCTTCCATGGACTGTATGGCGTGGCCTCTGATGGCTTCGTTGTAGCTTCCTTTGGCTCCCTGCTCTAGTATCCATGGGTAGGCTTTAGGTGCTTGGCCTCATGTGGCCTCGTATGGCTCGGTCTCTTATTTCTTCTCTACGGCTTCCCCATGGCCCATCGCTCCGTTGTCCATGATTCCTGGGGCTGCCGTGTGTTACGGCCTTCCTATGGCCTTGTATGGCCTGGCGCTTGCATATGGCCTCCCGCTCACCTGGCCCCGTGTCCTGGTGTCGACCGCAGATGATTCGCCTCCCCTGGCCTCGTACGGCCCGATTGTGTATGGTTTCCCTATAGCCTCCCACTCCACTGTCAATATGTCATGGTGTTGACCGTAGTTGCTTAGCTTCCTGTGGGTTTCGTGTGGCCTTACCTCTTATGGCTTTCCTATGGCCACCCATGGCATCCCGTTCCACTGTCCATGCGGCCTGGGTTCGGCCGTAGGTGCCAGGCCTCCTACGGAGTCGTATGGCTTGTCCTTGCATGCTTTAATCATGCTTAATGCGGGATGATGATTCAGAAAATGCCCAGGGTCGTGTTCATGGGGCGGCGCCCAGGGTGATGATCAGAAAAACGGGCATCCAGCCGGGATTGTTTCCCCAATTAGGTTTGCCTAAGGGTTTCTTTACTTGGTTCAAGGAAGGTGCCTCCTATCATTATTTTGCCCGTTGCTCGGAGGTTCCTCGGATTCCTCGGGTGCCCCACCCCTGGTGCCTCCTATTCTCCAATTAGACTTGCCCAAGGGGTTCCTACTTGATTAAAGGAAGGTGCCCCCTGCTGTTACTTTGCCCGTTGCCCAGAGGTTCCTCGCATTCCCCAGGTTCCTCGGGTTCCCCGCCCCCGGTGCCTCCTACTGTTACGTTGCCCGTTGCCTGGAGGTTCCCCGGGCTCCCCAGGTTCCTCGGGTTCCTTGGGTTCCTCGGGTTCACCGCCCCCAGTTGCCATAAGCAATGCCAAGCAGTGCCAAGCAATGCCCAGCGATGCCCAGCGATGCGCCAAGCGATGCGCCCATGCAATCGCCTTTCCCCATTGGGGTCGCGCTGGACTCATTTTGTGTAATCGCTCCCTTCTGCCATCCTCGGGCGCGCGCCTGGATATCAACGGGCTAGACGGGGCCGAAGCGAAGCGGAAGCCGAATCTGTTCGGGATTTAGTTAGTTAATCGTTCCCCCTCCCATTATTAGTCGTCCTCTTACAGTACCCGTTGCCTCATGCTCAACTGATCCTGTGTCCTGTGTCTCCTACGGCCTCGTATGTCGTGACCTCCGTGTTCCTGATGGTTTCAGAATGGCGCTCCTACAGGGTCCTGCCACACTGGCCTTCCAGTGCTTGCACCTAGGAGCTAGAGGCTAGTGCGCTAAGGAAATGGTCTGCCTGGCGGGCCGGACCGTGGGTGTGTGGCCTCTTATTGCGTAATTAGGCTCTTGTGTCTTGGTCTCATATGGCTTTACCTCCTACGTCGGTGTGACCTCACATTATCGCAGCTTGGCCTCCGATAGTATCTTGGCCTGTCATGGCTTGCTGGCCTCCGTTAGATCCCTCTAGTTCCATACGCATGGTTTCAATCATCAGCAGTGTAGGGATCATGTTGTAGCATCATACACGCAACTGTGTCCATGAACCTCCCACTGCCAAGCGTGTGGTCCCTTCTCATCAAGAACGTTGTCGTTTTGTTGTCGCGACCCAACACGCGTATATTGTGTTTTCGTTTGTTGATATGCATATAAATATGTATGTAGATGTATGAATGCTCGAGCTGATCACATCGTTCGATGGTTGTTATATCAGCTTGGGTTTGATCCGGTGAGGAGTCAATATGAAGATAATACAGGCATAAGGGTAACAGGTAGGAGCAGGATACAGGAGCAGCAAGCAGACGCGAGAGTAGGAGGAGGAGGACTGGGGGGGCAGGAGCAGCAAGCTGACGCGAGAGCAGGAAGATTAGTGTTATCAAGGTGCCAGTGGCAAATCCACTACCGTGCCATCGTAGCATGTAACACGTCTCATCGTCGTTTCTTGAGGAGCTCTCTTTAGCCGTCTTGGTGCCCTCCTCGGCCTGTCGTTGGCTCCTGTTGGGCAGTCTTCGGGGTACCTGGAGCCTTCTTGGCGGTCCTGGGCCGTCCTGAGGATCTCTTGAGCCGTTTGGGCCTAGGGGTTATCTTATTCCGTCTTGAGGCCCCTTTTAGCAAGCTGGGGGCTCTGCGGAGACCGTCCTGGGCCTTCTGGAGGCCTTCTTGGGGCTCTCAGTGGGCCCTCTTGGGCCTGCGAAGACCGAAAGTCGATTGATCTTCGACCCAAGAGCTTGGTCAGCGAAACTCTTTTGGAATACGTAGTGGAGAGAGCGTCTTGTGGGTGTCGTGGGGTCCCTTGGCGGCCTTGGTGTCTTTCCGTGGCCGTCTTGCAAGCTTTGGGGCGCATTGGAAAGCGCCAGGGAGTCGACGGGCTCCCAGGAACCCTCGGGAGGGGGGGGGGTGGCCGGCGCACGCAGCACTCTGTGTGATGAGCGGGGGGCCTCAGGAGACTTGCGTACACCCTGCCAGACAGCACCTGGCGTTCTACAAGGCCTCAATGTGCCAGGGGGCACCGTGGTTGAGGAGGAGTTCGAAACGAAGATGAGGACATCCACCAGGAAACAGATGACTACGAGCGCGAGGGGAAATCAAGTTGGCAAGGACGAGTTCCAGGACGAGGACGAGTGGGACCAGGTCCAGGAGGATGCAGGGAGGTGGTGCAAGAAAGGGGGGATTCTGGGCTCCTGGACTCTTCGCCCAAGACATCCTGTCAAGCAACAGTCCGTAGCCATTTGGGCTGTAGGGTGAGCTGTTCGGGTGTGCACGGCTAGTTTTTGTTCCAGTCCCAGAGTCAACCATGCCGTCGGGGAAGATCAAGAAGTTCTTCGAGGACAAGGGCTTCGGCTTCATCACTCCTGACGACGGTAGCGATGACGTGTTTGTGCATCGCAAAGTGCATGGGGACGGCCAAGATCGCACCGCGTATTTGGAAGAGGGCGACTCCGTCACGTACGAGGTGGAGTGGGACGACCGCAAGGGCAAGTACTCAGCCTCGTCTTGCGACGGCCCCTGGAAGTCAGGCGGCGGTGGTGGAGGCGGTGGTTGGGGCGGTGGCGGTGGAGGCGGCTGGGGCGGTGGAAAGGGCGGTGGGAAAGGCTATAACGCCTGGTGAGTTCGGGTCGCACGCGGTAGGGAAACCTAGTGTGTAGGTATTCGTGATTGTCTTGGAGTGCAAGTCATAGTCTGCAACAATGTACGAGTTCATCATCCGGCCTCATCGCCGTCGTGCACTTTGCGGCAGTTGCCTCTCAGATGTTTTTTTAATGACCCATCCCAGGGCGCCTCGAGAAGTGTCAGACGTCCAGCTGGCCTTGTGTCTGAGACGTTTCGCATTCACGTCGGATGGCCCTCGAACGAACCAGGTCTCAGAAGACTACGCTTGCTAAGGCTGCCCTCTCCCGCCAAGGGAGAGCCCGAGGACACGATTCGGCCAGCCTGCCCGGTTACACTCCTCCCTCATTATTGACGTAATCTGCAAGTTTTTGTCCCCGAGCAGCTCTTGCGCACACGACCTGTCATTGGTGCGTTTCGGGACTAGGTGCTAGGTATGTGTCCTGGGGTCGGCCCGTGTCGGCCCTCGGTTTCCATTTGGCTCCCCTTCATTTGGCCTCATGATATACTGGCCCTCTGTCTCGGGGTCGGCCGTAGATGGTTTGCCTCCTAGGGTCTCGTATGCCTGGACCTTCTGTCGTTCCCCTATGGTTCTCCCATGGCATCCCGCTCTACTGGCCCCAGGGTCCGCCGTGGATGCTTGACCTCTCATATGGCCTCCATCCGTTGTGGCATTCATATTGCCCCGTGTCCCAGTGCTTGCCACGCGTGAGTACCATCATATGGCATCCTATGGCTTCACGTCCGACGGCTTCCTTGTGGCTCTCCCATGGCCTCCCGCTAAGCTGACATTGTGTCATTGGGTCGGCCGCGGGTGCTCCGCCTTCTATGGACTGTATGGCGTGGCCTCTGATGGCTTCCTTGTAGCTTCCTTTGGCCTCCGGCTCTACTATCCATGGGTAGGCCTTAGGTGCTTGGCCTCTTGTGGCCTCGTATGGCTTGGCCTCTTGTTTCTTCTCTACGGCTTCCCCATGGCCCATCGCTCCACTCTCCATGCTTCCTGGGGATGCTGTATGTTATGGCCCTCCTGTGGCCTCGTATGGCCTGGCGCTTACATGTTGCCTCCCGCTCACCTGGCCCCGTGTCCCGGTGTCGACCGCAGATGCTTCGCCTCCCGTGGCCTCGTATGGCCTGACCTTTTCTTCTGACTTCCCCATGGCCTCCCGCTCCATTGTCCACCTGTCCTGGTGTCGGCCGTAGTTGCTTCGCCTCCCGTGGGCTTCGTGTGGCTTTGCCTCCTATAGCTTCCCTATGGCCACCCATGGCATCCCGCTCCACTGCCCATGCGTCCCGGGTCCAGCCGCAGGTGCCAGGCCTCCTACGGAGTCGTATGGCTTACCCGTTGCCTCCCGCTCAATTGGCCCTGTTCCCTGAGATCGACCGTAGGTAGTTAGCCCCCGATGGCCTCGTATGGCGTGACCTCCTCATTTCTTTCGGTTTCAGTAAGGCTTTCCTATAGGTTCCCGCCACACTGCCCCTCCAGTTCTTGCACTCAGGAGCCGCAGGCCAAGTGCGCCAACGAAACGGTCCTGCATATCGGGCCGGACCGTGGGTGCGTGGCCTGGCCGTGTGTGGTTGCCCTCTTATGCCGTAGGCTCGTGTGTCTCGGCCTCCGATGGCTTTACCTCCTGCGTCTGTGTAGCCTTACATTACGGCTGCTTGGCCTCCGGTGGCATTTTGGCCTGTCATGCTTACCTGGTCTCCGTTGGACCCTTGTCGTTTCACACGCGCTGTTCCAGTAATCACATGTGTTGGGATCAGACGCTGGCATCATAGATCCAACTGTGCCCTTGCACCTCTTGCTGCCAAGCGCGTGGTCCCTTTCAACTAAGGGTAGGCACTGCCATATTGATTGCAGACTACCATACGCGTATTTCGTATTTCGTATTTGCGTTTGTTGATGTATGGTTGTATGTATGTTCCAGTTGGTCACGTCGTGCGATGGCTGTAGTAGCAGCTGGAATTTGATCACAGATGAGAAGTCAGGAGAAAGAGTAAGGATGGACATAACGATACATACAAGTAGGACAATAGTACGTATGAGCAGGATAAGGGGGCAAGAACAACAGACAGACGCGAGAGCAGGAGGATAAGGATGTGTGTTGTTGGGGGGGAGCTGGAGGATAAGCATTGGGGGGCAGGGGCAGTAAGATCTCAGTATTCAGTTTGGCGGCATTGGTGTTTTTCCGTGGCCGTCTTGCAAGCTTTGGGGCGCATTGGAAAGCTCCAGGGAGTCGACGGGCTCCCAGGAACCCTCGGGAGGGGGGGGGGCCGGCGCACGCAGCACTCTGTGTGATGAGCGGGGGGGCTCAGGAGCATTGCGTACACCCTGCCAGACAGCACCTGGCGTTCTACAAGGCCTCAATGTGCCAGGGGGCACAGTGGTTGAGGAGGAGTTCGAAAAGAAGATGAGGACATCCACCAGGAAACATATGACTACGAGCACGAGGAGAAATCAAGTTGGCAAGAACGAGTTCCAGGACGAGGACGAGGGGGACCAGGTCCAGGAGGATGCAGGGAGGTGGTGCAAGAAAGGGGGGATTCTGGGCTCCTGGACTCTTCGCCCAAGACATCCTGTCAAGCAACAGTCCGTAGCCATTTGGGCTGGAGGGTGAGCTGTTCGGGTGTGCACGGCTAGTTGTTGTTCCGGCCCCAGCGTCAACCATGCCGTCGGGGAAGATCAAGAAGTTCTTCGAGGACAAGGGCTTCGGCTTCATCACTCCTGACGACGGTAGCGATGACGTGTTTGTGCATCGCAAAGTGCATGGGGATGGCCAAGATCGTACCGCGTATTTGGAAGAGGGCGATTCCGTCACGTACGAGGTAGAGTGGGACGACCGCAAGGGCAAGTACTCAGCCTCGTCTTGCGACGGCCCCTGGAAGACAGGCGGCGGTGGTGGAGGCGGTGGTTGGGGCGGTGGCGGTGGAGGCGGCTGGGGCGGTGGAAAGGGCGGTGGGAAAGGCTACAACGCCTGGTGAGATTTGGGCGCACACGGCAGGGAAACCTGGTGCGCAGGCAGTAGTTACTTTCTTGGAGGCAATAGTTACTTTCTTGGAGCGCAAGGCACGATCTGCAACAAAAAACGAGCTTACCATCTGGCCTCATCGCAGTCGTGCACTCTGGGCCAGTGTCCTTTCAGACGTTCAAGTAATACCCATCTCCAAACACCTCAACAAGCATCAGACTTCCAGCTAGTTATGTGCCTGAGACGTTTCGCATTCACGTCGGATGGCGCTCGAACGAACCAGGTCTCAGAAGACTACGCCTGCAAAGGCTGCCCTTTCCCGCCAAGGGACAGCCCCGACGACAGTATGCGGCCTCGGGGCTCTCTTGGGCCGTATTGGAGGAGCTCTTTTGGGCCGTTTTGGTGATCTCCTCGGGCTGTCTTTGGCTCCTGTGGGGCGGTCTTCGGGGTGCCTTGGGGCCTTCTTGGCGGTCTTGGGCTCTCTTGGGGATCTCTTGGGCCGTCTGGGCCGAGAGGTTCTCTTATTCCGTCTTGCGTCCCCCCGGAGGCCCTCTTGAGCCAGCTGGGGGCTCTGCGGAGACCGTCCTGGGCCGTCTGGTCGGCCTTTCTGAACCTTCGAAGACCGCAAGTCGTACGGGCTGCCAGGTGAGTATTGATTCAGAACTCATGTTGGCGGCCTTGGTGTCTCTCCGTGGCCGTCTTGCTGGCCTAGGGGCGCACTGGAGAGTGGCAGGGAGGAGTCGGCCGCACACGAACTCTCCGAAGGGGCGCCGGCGCACACTGCACTTGCTTGTAAACCCTACCAGACAGCATGTGGCAGTCTGCCAGGCCTCAACGTGCTAGGCGGCAAGTCAGGAAGTCTACGAGGAAACATATTACTATGAGGGCGACGGCAACTCAAGATTACAAGGACGAGTTCGAGGACGAGGATGACCAGGATCACGAGGACGCAGGGAGGTGGTGCAATAATGGGTGGTTTCTGGGCTTCTAGACTCTTCGCCCAAGGGATCCTGTCAACCAGCAGTCCGTAGCCGTTTTGACTCGAGGGTGAGCTGCTCGGGTGGGCACGGCTAGTTTTTGGTTCGGGCCCAGCGCCAAACATGCCGACGGGGAAGATCAAGAAGTTCTTCGAGGACAAGGGTTTTGGCTTCATCACTCCTGACGACGGTAGCGATGACGTGTTCCTGCATCGCAAAGTGCACGGGGATGGCCAAGACCGCACCGCGTATATAGAAGAGGGCGCCTCCGTCACGTACGAGGTAGAGTGGGACGACCGCAAGGGCAAGTACTCAGCCTCGTCTTGCGACGGCCCCTGGAAGACAGGCGGCGGTGGTGGAGGCGGTGGTTGGGGCGGTGGCGGTGGAGGCGGCTGGGGCGGTGGAGGCGGCTGGGGCGGTGGAAAAGGCGGTGGGAAAGGCTATAGCGCCTGGTGAGGATCGGGGCGCACAGGGTAGGCAAGCCTTGCGCACGCAATAGTTCTTTCCTTGGAGTGCGAGTCGTGATCTTCAGGGAGAAACGAGGTCACCATCTGGCCTCATCGTCGCCGTGCACCCTGCGGCAATCGCCCCGTTCTAGAAGTACCCATCCCAGGGCGCATCGAAAGGCGTCAGACTTCCAGCTGGCCGTGTGCCTGAGGCGTTGTGCGTTCACGTCGGACGACGCCGGAACGAACCTGGTCTCAGAAGACTACGCTTGCAAAGGCTGACTTGTCCCGCCAAGGGAGAGCCCCGAGGACAGTATTCTGCCAGCTTGCCTTGTTCCCCTCCTTCATTTCAAATGGAATCTGCAATTGTTTTATACCCCGAGCAGCTCTTGCGCACAAGACCTGTCGTGTGTTATATATATATATATATATATATGTGTGTGGGTGGGCTAGATGCGTGTCCTAGGATCGGCCCTCGGATTCCTTGTGGCTCCCCTGTGGCAGCCCGCTCCAGGGGCCTTCCGTCTCGGGGTCGGCCGTAGATGGTTTGCCTCCTATGGCCGCGTATGGCGTGACTTCCTGTGGTTTTCCTTATGGCCATCCCATGGCATCCACCTCTACTGGTTCCAGGGTCCGCCATGGATGTCCGGCCTCTCAACGGCCTTCCATGACTTATTCTCGCTGTGGCATGCCGATGACCTCCCGATTCTCCGCCGCCTCCTCATCCTCCCCCTCCTGCTCCTGCTCCTCCTCCTCATCCTCCTCCTCTTCCTCCTCCTCCTCCTCCTCCTTCTCCTGCTCCTCCTCCTCCTCCGTAGCCATCCTGGCTCAAGTAATCCACTTCTCCTAGTCGCTTTCAGAGAGCTAGCTGTTGTTCGGGCCCGCCTCTGGTTCGGCCCGCGGCTCGAGGGCCCGGGCGGGCCCCCTTCCCGTTTGGCTAACTCACGTTCTCTCACAAACATGTTGCTCTCTTCTCTCTCCAGAAGTACTGCCGCCATGGACACCGAGGATGTTCTGACGATGTTGCGCGCCATGCAGGTGCAGCTGACCAGGGACATGGTTGCAATCAGCGAGTGGATACGCGAGAGTGATGCGACGGTGGCCAAACTGTTGCAGTTCGGGCCACAAGTAGCTACGGTCACCACTCAGATGTCCACGAGAGCAGAAAATGGAAACCAAGTACGAGGTTTGCATGCAGGCTGTCAGCGCTCTCAAGGAGGATTGGGCGATGTGCGATGGCTCCAGCACCGCTGGGAGCAGTTGCGCCGAGCGCCGTCGTGGGCCGCCCTCTTCGTCAGGATCGTGGGCTGGTACGGCTGCTGATCAAAATCTCGCTGCCCCTCTTCAGAATACGTCGGACCGTTTCGCCGCCGGATTGGTACGTGCCCTAGGAACGTGCTTGACACCATTCGCCGTGCGACTTGGGAAAGTATTGTTGCCTGCCCACATGCCCATCTACCTGCTGACGCTGCGTCTTTTTAATTTCCATAGATCGTCCCAGAGCTTCTCTGTCACGTGGGCTACGGAGCAGCAGGCGAGCGTTTTTTTTGTTTTACATGGGATGGCATGGCGGGCGTTTCGTGGACCGACATTCGACGCGACGCCGATCACCTTCAGAAATTCATTCAGATACGTCGACGCGAAGATCTGCCTCATGAAGTTTGGAAGCGACAGCGACACCTGGATCAGGCATGATTCCCGTTGATGCAGCTTCTCAAACAATAAGACAAGTGGTCCAGTTATTGTAAGCTCGGGTGCTCGGGCTTCTCCAACGCCATGACGCCCACGAGCTCGGACGACATGCTTGACCTGATCAAGGTTGACGACTCGGCTACTGCACACGGGGCCAAAGAGAGTTGCGAGCACTGGGGGATCACCATGGACAAGACCGAGCCCGTCACCAGCCCCCTGAACGTAGTGCGACGGTCGGACGAAAAGGGATGGCTGACCTAAGGATATGAGCCAGCCTTCTTCTACATCCACATCCAGCCCTCTGCGTCGCCTGTCTGTTCAAACTGAGTATGGTGCCTACTTGGCGCCGCCTGTCTTTCCCACGTTCCCTGCCTCGCCTCGTGTCCCCTTCCATCCGTATTGTCGTCTACCTGTCTGCACGTGGAATGCTGCGACGCGCATTGGCGCGGTGAGGGATGCTCACGTGCCTCAGAGTGAAGCCTTTGCACGCGTTTCTCAGACTTGCTGAACCGTTCGACGGTCTCTTAATGCAGGAAGCGCGCGGGCGCGACGGGGATCTCAGCATTCTCTCTCGTCTCCTCTCCCGTCACCGTTGCGTTGGTTTGTTCTGCGCGGATTGCATCAACGGTGGCTTTCTTATCTGTGTTCATCAGTGATTATAAGTATACTTCGATACATCCGGTGCAATGGATATGATGCAGGGTCGCTGTTTTGCAATATGTATGAAAAGGTCGCCTTGGCTCTCTCACCCTTTGCTTTTCTTATCTCAACCCGAACGATTGCACCGCAGGGACAAGATAGTTTTCGGCCACTGTGTCTCGGTACCTTGATCCAGTTAACTCCGCTGTCATCGTTGGAGGTGATTGAAATTTATGTGCAGAATGTGAGGCCCTTTATCGCATTGACCCTGTTCTTGTTCGCCCCCCGAGCGGTTCGTTCCCTGGCGGCGAAGTCAGCGGGCCATTTCACCGACGCGCGGGGCTCGCCCAGGAACGCCACGCGCACGCCGCGCGGCGTGACGGAGACTTGCTCAGCACTGCGCGCCTTGACCGCAGATTGTAGCTTGCCGCCGCCTGTCATTCTTGACTCTGCGCCGGCTGCGGGGGCGGGGTGGCGGGCGCTTCCGAGACGGCAATGTCGCTCGCCTGGCTTTGGAAGATGGGAGCCGCAATTGCTGTTTGCGGTCTTTTATGAAGCTGCCACTGCAGTCCAGGAATTAAGCACCCACCTGTCTATTTTTGCACATGGCGCGCGCATAGGCACTTGTGCTTCTAGTTCCAGATGCAAGGGCCATTGAATCGCGCGGCGCACGCACTGCGATCGCGCTCGCAGAAGGAAGGGCGCGCAGAAGATGAAGCTAACAGCGCGAAGATTTCCTCATCTAGCTGATTTCGTCGACGAGGATGCCCATCTGGTCAACGCCTACCGCTTTTATTTGTTCCTTGCTATTCTCAGCCGTCTTGGGCCAGAAAAAGAACGAGCGGAACTCGTTCGCGATAAACTCGATATCCCTTCCGGCTAGGACCGATGGGTTTGCCGAAATGGAGAGGCTCTCGCGTGCCTGGCCCCCCCCGTCATAAGCAAGTGGTGCTCCGGAGCACTGTGGGCCCCGATGGGCCCCCCCGCGCCGACCCCTCTCAGTGCGCTGATCTCCTGCAGGGCCATCGGGCCTGGACTGCCCGCGCGTCTCGGCCCCCCCGCCAGGACATGGAGCGACTCCCCCTTTGGATCCAAAAAGCTCCCCGGTGCATTACTTTGGGCTCTCGACCCCGCCCAGAGCCCAGAGCCTTGGACTGGGTGGCATTCTGCATTCCGGTTGAAAAGATGGAGGCGTGACTTCTAGGCTTCTGACCGACATTATTTTCGCGCAATTAGAGCTGGAATGATCCCGCAAGAATGCATTGGCGCTTCCTTCGCTTCCCTGCCGACGGGCGCGCTGGAGGCCGACCCGTGCAAGGCCGCGTCTGACGCGCGCCCGCTCGCGCTCGGCAGCTGCGATTGCGAGCTTATCTTCAGTGCGCTAGCCCAGCCGCTTGGCAAAGTGCTCGTCGCACTACGGACGAGGGCCAGCGTTGTTTCGTTGGCGGGCGCTCTTTAGTTGATAATGTTCTAGCAGTTGGCGGAAGATAAATACAATATGTTGTTTATGAGGCAGCCTCCAGTGCTGGCATGGCCTTCCATGGTTTTCGTCAAGATTGTCTTAGTATTGTTCATGACTGAATGTTTCACTTGCCAGAACTAGTGGGCGCGCCCCCCTGGCACCGCCGAATCGCGACTAACTTGTATGCTAACAGGTCCCCCCACGTTCGGTTTATAGGCATTGCTGTCGCGATGTTCCAGCCATCTCGTGGGATCATAAAACAAGGTTGCCCTTCATCTGGTCTCCTGCTTGAGCTCGCTCTGGACCCTTGGTTCCGATGGTTAAACATGGCCCCCTCCATTTTCGCGCTTGCCCATGCGCCTGCGCTGATGACGTCGGCATCGCCGCGTTTAACTTGGCCAAGGCCCACACTGTCATGAGTCAGCAGTTTGTTCGCCTGGCCCGCGCTGGAGGCCTTTTCTCGCACGCCAAGAAATACCAGTTGGCGCTGGCATCTTATAGTGCGGAGGTATCCTTCCGCAAGGACTGCCGGGTGGCAAAAATGAAGGGCCCCCCCCAGGCAACAATCGGTCGCGTTGGTCTTTCCTTCGGTGTGTTCTTGGGCCTCGGGGGTGAAACGGTTTCTTGGGCCGCTCCGCTACAGTCTCTCATGAAACGCTTCAGGTACGTCAAATCCCCATGATTAGGACTCGCATGAATTATTCGCATGTGCAACATTTACTGTTTGCCTGTGGCGCAGCACGTGGCACAATTCTTTACGGCGCCTGCATCTAGTTCAGCAGTAGAAAAGGGAAGCCCTCCGACAATTACCATGTGCGCCACGGCACTCTTTGACCAGTGCTGTGCTGTGGGATGGTGATTCGATTGGCATAATTTGCGCAGGTCGAAGTCTGCATCATCATGCCCGTGCTGCCCAGTATCGTGCTGCTCTGCAGCCAGACGAGTTTACCCATTTACATTTCTTCTGTCAGGAATTTCGATGTAGTGACGTTTGCACACTATTGCATATGGGTTCTCCCACATCCCTTGCATCCGCATTTGAAAGCATTCTGAATATTTTCGGTTCACTACTGGCTGTCCCATCCGTCCCACCATTGTCATGCCGTGGTCTTCTCTGCAGTCTATGCTAGATTGAGTCGCTGGACCCCGACCAGTCGTACCCAGGCTGACCTGGCCAGGCTCAGGTGTTTTCTGGTCGGCAAGACTCTCGCCTCTTG